GTGGCCTCTCCTCTTTGTCAGTGCCAATGCCATCACATTTCTCACCTTTAATATCTCCGGCCTGTCCATGGCCTCCCACTCACAGGCTCTCCCTCCTCTGACCCCGCTTCCGTGGACTCGCCAGTTATCTTCCTAAAATCAGTCTGCTTAGAAACCTGTGCTCCTACCCTTTGCTTGCAGGGTCTTGTTCACACTGGGCCTGGCACGGAGAGCACTTCGAATCAGACATTTGGCTGCACTCCTGCCCCTTGCGCACAAGTCCCCCTGCAACACCATCTATTCTCCAGACTCTGAACATTCTCACGTGCTCTTCCCTCTGTTTGGAATGCCGGCAAACATCTATGCGTACTGGAGACCCAGCTCCAATGGAACCGCAGTCTGTGATGGGGCCTCTGAGCTTAACTTCTCCTGAAAGCTCAGAGAAAAGGAGAAATCAGTTTTGCAAGGCACTTCCTACTTTTAAATCTTCATTGCTGATAAGATCAAAAGCCCCCCATCATTAATCAGCTCCCATTTAAAAAAATTGGCCTGTCTATTCCTACGTTAAATGCCAATTGTTCTATATAAACATGTTAATATTTATTACAAGGCATATTTCACACATGTGATCTTAAATTAATGTCCAGTGCTTTTGGAATTTTTTGGAATATCATTTGATTCACTTTTTAATTGGGAAAATGCCCTTCCTTCCACATGATCCCTTGTAATTTTAGGAGGGAGGGGGCCGGGTAGAGTGGACAGAAGGTAGTAGAAACTATATTTCTTGTTAATTTCCTAAGACTGGTCTCCCAATTTACTGTTTTCTTAGACAAAGCAGTGCTGTGAAAAAGGATGGTAAGATGTTCTCAGCGAGTTCATCTATACACTGGGGCTCTTTTTGTTTGTTTTAGATGCAAGTTCCTGTGACTGGTCACCTTTGGAGTCAATTACTCAGGCATTCTTTGGACTTTTAAACAAGAACACCCGATTCCAGTCTTATAGCCTCGTAGGACGGCACATTTCACTTTCTAGTTACTTCCTTTGTGTTTTCCTTTACAAAGCAAGCCTTTCCTAGAAACCTTGTAAAGATAATCACAGTTTCGCTGTGTCATAAATGATCTACCTGTCTGATCTGCTTAGTTTTCATCTCCATGGAGCTGGTAAAACCAGTCCTCTTGGATTTGCTGCAAAGGAGTCACTGAAAAAGATAAGAGGGGAAGTGAGTGGGTCATTCCAAGAGTGCTTATCAAGCCAGGGCAAGCATAATAGAGCAAGATGTCATTTCAATGGCTTTTGATCTGATGTGGACAAGTTACCTTTCACCCAGAGTACACCGTGCAAAGGAAGGAGGGCAAAGCCCACCTCGGAGCAGTCAGAGCAGAGCCCCGCGCGCCTGTTTGAAGTGCTGTCTGTCTGCCAGGGTTTCTCCTTAAACTCGTACCTGCTAATTTGAGAATTCGAGGTGGATTGTGCCTGCATCAATTATTACTGTGGTGTTATGGTGGTTTTCTCTTTCCCTCATTTCTTCTCTATTTATTTACTGGAAGTCCTTTGTAAAGAAGACTTGTGTCCTCTCCCTGACTTATTTACTTACGTAGTCATTTATCTATATCCATATGGACTTAAAGATATGAATTTTATTCTTTGGGTTAGATCACTATTTAGCTTGTTGCTTGGATTGGTCCAGCTGTGGCCTTTGAGAGCTCTCTTGGGCTGGCTCCTGTGCCCTTTTGACTTGCCCATCATTTTTATTGAGCACTTCCTTGCTTTCTGGCACCATGAGGTTTTCGCATTTCTCCATAAAGCTCATCAGAAGCGCCAGATAATGACTGTCTTTTGTAAAGCACTCTGCATGTAACTTATATTAATGTAAAGATGATATTAAAGGTTATCAAAGCAAAATATCATTCATTACATGCAAATTAGAGATGTCAAGTCCGAGTACTCAGACAGCAGGCATGACAGGCAGTAAGTGCTACACAGGCAGAGGCTCAATTGCCTTCCATTTTTATCCAAAATGTCACCACCACCAAGCAACACAGTGGGGCCTTTTAAGTCATGTGATATGTGAAGTGCAACAGCTCAGCTACTTTCTGTTCCCAGAACACATTATCCATTCTGGGAGAAATGGGAATTCAGTGGGACAGAGATGTGGTATCGAATACAACTGTATTTCTCTAGCAATATTCATGAGATGAATTCACATAATTTGAAATATTGCGCCAACTATTCTGTTAAAACACACTCTCGTAAGAGGGAGGTGGGATGAGGAATTATACATCTATTCTTGTCAGCAGCTGGATTTGAATCTTGATATTAACTTCCCTTGTGCTGGTCAGCAAAAGTTTGTCAAAGGAAGAATAAAAGGACAATAGGAACAATTCAGAAGAACCAAACAGTAAGTGGCAGGGGAAGAGTGTCCATTTTTGTAATTTAGAGCAACTTAAAGTGAAAAACATCTCCAGTGTTGCGTAGACTCATGAGTAGACTACCAGAATAGATAATGGGTTTGGGGAACGGAAAGTAGCTGAGCTGTCACACTGAAGTAAACTTAGTTTACTTAAGGCATTAAAATTAGAGCACAGTTCAGGAATTTTCAAAAATGTTGTCTTGCCATCAGTGTGATAAAATGACGAATTTGTCCACATAGGAAGCAAACCCAGATCAAGGAGTAGGGACATAGTACTCTGATTCAAGAAGGAAAACGTGCGTGCTAAAACAGACCAGAGCCAAACCAAGACACAAAAGTTCAGGTCATCTGTCTTCACCGTGGGAAGCAGGGAAAAAGTAAACGAAGACTGTCTTGCCCATGTAGGACAGAGAGATGAGTAAGATGGGGCAGGACATACGAGAAGCTGCTTAGTTTTTTGGGGTTTTTTGAGCCCTACAGAGTTCAGCCACCAGTTTGCTGGTTTAGGTGTATTGGCCTCTGGCAAGTCCAGGCAACGCTGGCCACGGTGGGCATAATCAACAATGTTCAAAGACTTTGGACCACTGCTCTGAGAACTCTTGGGGCAGCCAGCCAGCATTCCTCAGCACCAAGACGCTAGTCCAGAAGTCCAGCTAGTTATTTCCATGTTGAAACATGCCCAGTCACTTTCAGGGGTCTGAGTCTCTTTGCGAGAGGGACAAGGTGGCCCAGTGACCCTTGACTTAGCAAAGAGAATCATCTCTGGAATTGCGCAGACTCCAGACCAGTTCTTCTGGGTGGGGTTAGGAGAAATAAAGTCCCAGTAACAGTGGGCCTTGGCAAGGCTCTGTGAGTTCCAGTGTTTGTCAACTCTAAGATCCTACCACAAGGCCTCATCACCCTGATAGCCAAGGCCTGTAATGACTGAGGCGCCATGGTGCCTGGAGCAGGTATAATTGCGTATTCATCCGTGCCTTCAACACTTCAGATTGCTAATTTCCATGTTCTTTAATCCCTTCCGTAGCAGTCTGCCACTGATGTCACTACAGTCGGCCCTCGGTATCCGCGGGTTCTGCATCCGCCAATGCGGAGGGCCACTACTGGACTTGAGCATCCGTGGATTTTCATATCCCGGGGGAGTCTGGGAACCAATCCCCCGCGGATACCGAGGGACGACTGTACTACCTTCTCAGCAGCTGTGTGGATGGGTCTTCTGTCCCTTGTTTAGTCTTCTGTTTAGTTTGCTCTGCCGCACACAGATTTAGAAAGATGATGCTACTCATCTCTTGTTCGTAAACCCCGACTTTGAGAGTTTTTTTAAACTAATGAAATGGTTATAAGAACATCTTTCTGCAGAAACCCCAGGAAGTAACCAATTTACAAGAGTTGCCTCAATATCATAGGTGAGGTATGAAGACAGCCCTATATTGGGTAGGGGGTCAGCTTTTGTCACCTGTGGTTAGTGGACCCACTAACCCTCAGCCCTCTCCATTTTTCAGGGGCCAACGATTTAACTTCTTTATTGTCTTCTTTTCTCTCTTCCTGAACGTCTCCCATTTATTTCACTATCTCTTCCTACCACCAGATGGTGGAAAGGGAAAAGGAAATAACGGGACGGTAAATGAATGTGGTGGCTGGCAGAGTATCTATGGGGAAAGGTGTGACCCAAAAAGGAACTTGTGAGTTACCCGTGAATTCCCACGAATTCCCTGTTTTCATCTTAGCGCCCACTCAAGGGTCGGCTGCCCAGGTTTGGGGGGTCAATAGGGCACAATGATGCCTGTCGAGGAGGGAGTCAGCCCTTGCCTCAGTGGATTCCTGGGAACATCAGAGCCCGGGAACACTGCTGAGCAACCGAACCCCACTTGGCCCAGGCACGGGGGGTGTGGGGCTACAGGTCCCTGCGAGAGTAGGTGCGGGGCGATGCGCCCCACCGACCCCCGCTGCGCCCTTCTCTGTCTTCCTGCATCTCCATCCCACCACCTCCTACCTGACGAACTCGCACCTGGCCTGCCGGTCCCACGCTGCCCTGAAGGGGACACAGCATTTCTCTCCCTCCATAGGGACCCCTTCTCCTTCCTTCCCAACAGCCCCCTCTGTAAAGCGTTATTCTGGGTTGCCTCGACTCCCCGGGGTTACCTGCCATCACCCTCAGCAGGTGTGCGGCCACTCACCCTCCCATGGTCTCACCTCCCCCAGCCCATCCTCCACTTCTCGTCGCACCCTCGGGGTTGGCTACTTCCACCTCCTTCCCCATGTGCCCCTCCACTCGGACGCCCCCTCCCCCATGGACCCACGCCCCTCCTCCGGTCTCGAGGAGTCTCGCGGCATTTCCCGGGGCGTTAGCTGAGCCGCCGCGGGTTGGGGGCGGCCTCGCGGAGCTGGGTCCCTCCTCAGAAGGCGGGGAGGGGGGCGCCGGAGCCCCGCAGCCGCAGGGACGCCCCGGGTACCAGCCCCGCCCCTCGCAGGCCCCGCCCCTCGCAGGCCCCGCCCCCGCCCTGGCGGCCGCGCGTCCCCGGCAGGCGGAGCCGCAGGAGCATCGCGGCGGTGGCGGCGAGGAGGGGGGAGAGCGGGCGGCGCGGCCGTGGCTGCCTGGCGCTGGGCTGGGCGGCGCTTTTTTTTTTTTTCGCAATTTCCACTCGCGGGGAGCAGGAAACCCGGCGCAGCCGGGCGCAGCGGGCCGCGATGCAGCAGCAGCAGCAGGAGTCGCCCCGGGGCAGCAGCGGCAGCAGCAGCAGAGGCAGCAGCGGGCGGCGCTGAGCCGCCGCGGCCGCCGCTACTGAGGAGGAAGCCGGCCCAGCCGCCGCCGCGTCCCGACCCCCGCACCCCGATCCCGGCGCCCCGACCCCCGCGGCCCGATCCCGGCGCCCCGACCCCCGCTCCCGCCTCCGCCAACTTTCACGCTGCCTCGGCGGCCCGGCCCGGCTCGACGCCAATGGGTGAGTGGGGGTCGCCCGCGCCCCGGCCCCTGGGTGCCCACCTCAGCCTGGGGGCGGCGTGCCTGTCCCAGGACCGCGGAGCCGGGGAGGGCGCCCCTGGCAGGGCCCCGGCGGGTGGCAGCGCGGTGGGCACCCTGCCTGCCTCGCGCACCCCCATTCACTCCCACTCGCGTCCGCGTCCCTGCCGAGCCCGCGCGGCGCAGACGGGAGCTCCGCGGGGGCCTGGGCGGAGGATCGCGGGGGCCGGCCGGGGCGGCTGGGCTGAGGGATGCAAGGGGGTGTGGTTGCATTTTCGGGTGGGCGGGGAGAGTTTTGTCTTGGCCGTCTTCTCGCCCCAGCGCGCCCTCCTCTGCGCTGAGGACGCGGGTACCAGGAGCTGGTGGGCTCCGGCCCTGCACCGGGCTCGCGGTACCCACCTGGCCCCGCCGCGGGGAAGCTGGAATCTCGGGGTGTCGGGGCGGCCGGGGGCCGGGTTGCCTTTGCTAGGTGCTGACGTGCTAGGGGGGCGAGAAACGCCCCAGTACCTGGCCTGGCATGCCGTCCTCGGGTCCTGAGCGCCTGACGCGCCTCCCTTGGCGCCCCTCTTACTCTGGGCCCTGACCCCCTCTCTGTCTCCTTCCTTCCTCCAGCCTGGCGAGCTCTCCGCTCCGTGATGCTCAAAGGCCACTTCCCAGATCCTCTAAGTCTGCAGGGTCGGGGGACTGGAAACGGTGATCCAGTCGTTGATTTACTGACCAAACATCAGTTCCAAGTCGGCAACTAACCGTTAGGCCCCCTGGGTCCCATCTGGTATAGACCCGGAGTATTGGAGCCACTTTACCCGGAGGACTTGGCACTTTATTGGGCAAAGGACTTGTGATTGCCTGGACTATTAAATGTTTGGCCCTTCCAGGTAATATTCTTGCTGGCGGCCAGTCTCTGTTTTTCATGCCTCTGGCAGATTATTTTTGGGTGTTTCTAGGCCAAGCATAGGAAGGCTGTAGATTATAATGTCATAATAAAGTGAGACCTTTTTGTGCTCAGGTAATAGGATCTGAGTAGGCGAGGCAGACAGTGATAGGTGAGCAGTCATAGGATGCTCATGAAGACAGATGCCTTGGAAAAGGGCAGTTTAACACAGTCAGTTGTTGATAGGCAAAGTTAAAATCCCATTTGTGGTCCTTTGCCAAAATGGTTTTCCTTTTCTAAAGTGATGGCGATCTGGTGGCCTCTCAGCTTCAATGTCACTTTTTTCTAGGTGCCCTTCTCTGATCCCCGTACCACCCCCAGTCTAAATCAGTTTCTCTGTTACTGCTTCTCTTATAGCACCTTTTCTTTTTCACAGCAGCGTTACAGATTTATTTGAATTTAACATTTATCTCCCCTACTGTAAGCTCCATGAGCATAGGGACAGCGCTGTGTTACACTCTTTTGCTCAGCAATGTTTTCTTTGGTGCCTGGCACGGAGTAGGCCATAAATAAATATTTATTGAATGAATGAATGAATGAGGCGGTATGAAAACCTCCTACTCTGTGGAAGACAAAACACTTAGCTTGCACTCTTGTTTTTCTTTGGCACCTAATACGAGGATTTAGTTCATTAACAAAAGTACATACTTTACGCATCACCCATCGCTTTGGTAACAGATTGGTTTCTCCTGAGTTAACCAAAAATGCTGTTTTGATCACCTTTTGTTTTGGTTGGGTCACCAAGAGGCTTGCACATAAAAAGAAATTGGATCCAAATGTCTTCTCCCCTGGCTGGACCGTGCTTTCTGTATCTCAGTAGGAAGAGGACTGAGTTCCATTAAAGAAGAAACAGGGGGCCGTCTGGCCCCGTGGCCGAGTGGTTAAGTCTGTGCGCTCTGCCTCGGCGGTCCAGGGTTTCGCCAGTTCGGATCCTGGGTGCTGACATGGCACCGCTCATCAAGCCATGCTGAGGCGGCATCCCACATAGCAGAGCCAGAAGGACCTACAACTAGAATATACAACTATGTACTGGGGGGCTTTGGGGAGAAGAAGAAGAAGAAAAAAAGAAGATTGGCAACAGATGTTAGCTCAAGTGCCAATCTTTAAAAAAAAAAAAAAAAAAGAAGAAGAAACAGACCTGTTTATATCATTCAAGTCTGAACTGTTTTCATTATCCAGAACCTCCCAAGAAAATTAGAGAGTGCTTCTGCAGTTTATAGTCCTTTCAAGCTTAATCTTTTTTACTGTAACCATTACAAAAGGGAGGGGGCGCAGAAAGGGACTTTCATTTATTTCAGGTGTTGATACTTAGAGGCGATAAGATTAAAATGAATACTGTCATTTAATTCATTAAAATGTTTATAGTGGGATTTAAGATGCTCATAGTAGTTTGTGGCTGAAGATCGCCTGCTCTTTTCCAAAGCACCTGCACTAGTGTATTTGTGATGAAGTACAGGTATTTAACGATTGGTTCTGTGTGTCTTCCCATGGAGCCGCCTAACACTGCTGTTTCTGAAGCGGGTGTGTGTGTACACACAGGCACGCCCCCTTCCCCAATCCCCCAAGGCCCTTTGGTTTTCAGAAGATTCGTCCAGTTTATCAATTTGATCTGCTTGCATTCTTACCTGGCCTCATAATGATTTTTCTGTTGATGGATAACACAATAAAACTGTATTATATGGTCTTTGATCTGAAAAATAACTGAAAGGCATCAAATCCCTAACTCTGAAATGGAGCCAGCTCGTTGTGAAATGGCCTCTTACAAAAGCCCACTCAGAATGTGCCCTCTGAGCTCGCAGGGAGAGGCCTGCAGTGCCACATACAGGGAAGGCCTCTTATCATTACAATGGCACAAATGTTATTAGGACCCAAATCTGTGAGTAGTGAAGGATTCACAAGCCTGGCAAATGATTTCCGTTTAAAGAATTCTAGAGTAAGAACAAAGTTTGACTGTTTTTAGCAATGTATTGTTTTGGTGGTAGACTGCTTTATGCTAAACTAAAGCGAAAATGACTATAACGTGTTGGTCTCCACACACAGTCTGTAGTTAGAAATGGAAGACAAGACTCCACCTGTATCGTTCATGACCTTTACTTTACCCACTTCTATCTACCAGGGCCGGGGCAAGACCTTGCCTCCATCCTGGTTCACAGCCTCGGTTGTTTTTTCTCTGACCCCTTCAGTTCTTCTTGCGTTACTGACATTCTCTCATCAACTCTTGTATTTCTAATCGTTTTAAAGTAGATTGCATACAATGGTCGGTATTCATCCATTTTTCCAGCCATCCATCCAATATTTATTGACCTCCTGCTTTGTAAAGCCAGGCATTGTGCTAGGAACAGGCGGACAACACACGTAGACCTGCCAGCTTGGGTTTCTCAGTCTAGTGGAAGAGGCAGACTTGAATGCACTACTCACAAAAATACATGATTATAAGCCATAGTAGGTCTCCTGGAAGGAGAGGAGGAGTCTCACTTAGGCTGGAGAGGGGTAAGGACAATGTCTTTGAGGAGATTGTGTTTGAGCTGAAATCTGAAAGTTGAGTTGTCACCACCCTCCAGCCGCACCCCCTAGGAACATACCTGGAGTGGAACAAGCTGGTTTCTTCTTGCAGCAAGGGAGAACGCACACCCTGGGGAAGTGTGGGCATTGCAGCAAGAGGGTGTCAGGAAGGACAGCAGAGGACTGGGGCCTGTGGCAGGGGCTTTTGGGGAGCGTGTAAGGCAGCTGGGCGTTGTTCTGGACTGGATGCTGTCAGAAAGCGGGGGTAACTCGATGGTTGGGCGTCTCAATAAATCTTATGGAGAAGCAGGGAAGACCAGACAAAGGCTGTGATTGGTAAAGAAGCAGCAGTCACTAATCTCAGCCAGGACTGGGGGGTGTTTGGTGACATTTGTGGTTTGGACAAGGTTCGTGTATTCTCTGAGTTCAGACATGATTACGGAGCGGTCTTTGTCTTGTGCCATCCTGGTCACAGAATGGCCTTATCTGATGTTGGTGTTCTGGGGAATTGTCTGTGTTCAGCAGGAGATTGCCTGGCCAGCTCCCAGACCAGATGGCAGGGGCTGGTCCTCTTTCTCCGAGTTAACTAAGTGATGAGTAGGAGCAGGGAATAGGAGGTAGGGGTGTGGAGGAGAATGGCTTTGTAGGCATATTCTGTGGCTACTTCCTTAATATCGGCCAGCTCTAGTCTGGGGACTGTTGTTGAACATTAGGCAGAATGGACAACTGAAATGCTCTACCGAGGGAAGACATTCAGAATAACACAGAACAAGCTGCCAAGAACCAAGAAGTCAGGGCGGCTCTGAATGGGAAAGATGCAGGGCAGGAAAATATTAGCATCCTTTCAGTGTGAGAGAAGGAGAGTCTCTAATACTGTACAGCGGTTCTCAGAGTGTGATGTGATATGAGAGACCAGCAGCATCAGCCTCCCCTGGGATCCCATAAGAGATACAAATTCTCTGGCCCCAACTCTGACTTACGGAATCAGGAACTCTGGGGGTGGAGCCCAGCAATCCGTGTATTAATGAGCCCGCCAGGTGGTTCTGACGCATGGTCCAGGTCAAGTGTAGAACCTCCTTGCCTTGCAGATGAGAATGTGAGGTCCAGAGTGCGTGGGTCGTTGAAGAGTGTATGGGCACTCTGGTCATAGAATAGCATGCTACTATAAGTGACACATGAAGTGACTCCTTGGAGAAGGAGAAAAAGATGCTCTTCGTTCAGAACAAACCTCTCACGGAGTTACTAGAGCAGTACAGTGTTGATTCTTCCATGAATCCAGTCTGAACCAGATCTCCAACACCTTGCTGTTAGTGACACTAGCAGGCCCATCTCAGTGTTAGTCACTTGGACTTTTACCAGAGTATCACACAGGTCTTTCTCATCACCCTTCTTTTCCCTCCATCCTCCTTAGAAGGGACATTAGGAATATATTGTTAACATAATTAGGGTTTTTGATATTTGTTTGTGATTTTCTATACCTGGTACCTGTATTAGTTTCTAATTGCTGCTGTAACAAATTACCACACACTTGCTGCCTAAAAACATCACAG